TTTGCTTGCGTTTCAACTTGGCCTAGTACCGGCTAGCGGGTCCTAATTCACAGTTTTTCTGGCCCCATAAAGTCTTGGTTCTAAGGCCAGGAACAACCAGGCTGAGTCGGGCTGAGTATGCTAAACTAGAGAGAGAATCGCTGCCAAGGGGGCTACAACTACAACAAGATGAACATATTTGACCGTGATTTAATTGTAATACACGTTTCAAAATGATGCCGAAGTAACAACATACTGATACCGGTTAGTAAAAACCATGAATTAATGCTTTGACAAGTCTGCAGACAGACGGCAGGTGAAAACCCTTTTAAAATGCGTGTTTTCTAAATGGAGATTGGCTAAGCTAACGCAATATATGCTCCGACCGTCCACACTCACAACAACGGCCTATACAGACATAAATAAAGCAGCGACTGTATTCGCCATGACACAGACAGTCTGTGGTTTGTACTTGTTTAACTTTTGTCTAGTTTCTGAACAGATATGAGGAGCTGTGAGCTCTGAGTGCTAACAGCTAACGGCTGTGTTGTTTTTCTGGGGTTCTCATTGAAGATGACGTCACGGCTCCGCCTACACTGCGTTACTATAGATACTACCCCAGTTCCTAAACTGTAATGGAAATGTGCCATAAAGTGAGCCAGTCCTAATGAGGCCTAGCCATACCGAGCGAGGCCGTGTAGTGGAAATGCGCCATTACAGGCCTGGCATATGTACTACAGCGTCTCCAGCGCTTTCGAGCGGCAATGGCCGGCCGTGGCCCAACCATGGATGTATAATAAGAACGAGCCCAACCCCACATTCCCCTGATAGGTGGAGAGTTGGCCCCTTTTTAAGAGATTTGGGTATGGAGGAAAATAGAGAGGGTTGTGTTTTCTGACACTTGGTGAGTTCCCTGGTACACCGGGGACACATATTCATGTATAAAAGACGTACAAAAGTGCATTTTGCATGATAGGTCAATTTGGCTATAGCACTAACAGATAGACATGGACTGGCCCCCCAACCCTTAGGGGAATTCATCCACAAAAAATACACTGGACGCTGCACTAGGTCAGAAACCAGAGGAGACTGTGAAGTCCACCGCAGACGGACCACCTTTGGACAAAATGTCCTCTCCGTTAAAGGCAGCTCATTCTGGATAGCCTCCCAACTGAGATACGGGATTGTCCCACTCTCAATAGCGTCAAAGGTCAACTCAAAGAATGGTTGAGAAACAAACAGACGTGCAATCACCGCTAAATGCACTTTAACACAGGGGTATCTCCTCTTGCACTTCATGTAGCACTTGTATCTTCTCTTGCACTTTATATGTCGTAGCTGCTACATTGTACTGCCATGTGGTAAATACTTGTGTACATGCTGCTCTTGCTCTTTTGCACTTTTTGCATATCATGTATTTTGTTTTTGCTATGTTTGTAAAATGTAATTTTCTTAAATGTTTTATGTGAGGGACTGCGGAGGGAAACTAGCTCAAAGCTAAATCTGGCACTGTTACGCTTGATACATTTGAATGTTTTAAGTGTTCATTACTGTGCATTGTCCCTGCCAAATAAACGATTAAATAAATAAGATTTGTAGTCTAGTAACAGTACTTCAAAAGTTACTAAGAAATGGTCAGATAAAGCAGGATTATGCGGTTCGACTAATAGTTGCTCAATTTCAATACCATAAGTCAGAACAAGGTCGAGAGTGTGATTATAACAGTGGGTTGGTTTATTTACACTCTGACGGAAACCAATAGAATCTAATATAGAGTTAAATGCAACAGTAAGGCTATTTTTATCGTCGTCAACATGAATATTGAAGTCACCTACGATAATGACTTTATCTGTTTTAAGTACCAAAGTTGATAAAAACTCAGAGAATTCTGATAAGAATTCTGAATAAGGACCTGGGGCATGGTACACTGTAACAAATAAGATTGGCTGCAAAGTTTTCCAGGTCGGATGCGTAAAACAAGGCTTTCAAAGGAGGTATAATTTAATTTTGGTTTAGTATTGATAAGTAAACTTGAGTCAAAGATGGCTGCAACTCCACCTCCGTCCATATTTAATCTTCCTGTTTTGTTGCACTGTAGTAGGCCTAGTTGTTAAGTTTACTTTTATTAGGTTATTATGTATGACACCCAGTGGCGGCTGGTGGAAAATATTTTAGGTGGGGCTGTGGAAATGGTGACCAAACAATACTAGGGGGGTCCGGGGGGATGCTCCCCCGGTACATTTTGTTGAGAAAAGACCCCCTAAATTATAACTTCTGGTGATGTTAGAGGGGGGGGGGAAGGACAATTTGAGGCTTAAAAATATGAGAAGACTGATCAATACCTCCATAATCTTCAGTGTGGTTAGCTATGAATCTTCCAAAACTTCTAAACACCTTGTCCTGGACATCGTTTCTACAGCATAAACTGTGCAAAAGTACAGTAGGCCCACACAAACTGCAGAACACCGGGGCTTTGGGAACACTCAAAATGACTTTAAATGATTTAATTCCCATTTAACCTGTTAAGGGGCTTTTTTCCCCCGTTTTTTTTCTCACGAAACTGTGTCTCAGGGCTTCTTAAAATGTAATAAACTATTCATGTGTCCTACTCAGAGGAAACACAGCTAACTGATTATATGAACCATGTTTACCGAAACAAAACACAAGTCTCACAAGAAGCGTCTAAATGAGCCCTGAGCGAAAAAATGCTAACGCACTCTAGGTATAAATCAATCGATATACTTATGGGATATGCACAAACAGGCTTATGCTAACAAGCTGAGATTCCACAGATTCTAGAAATATAAGTATCATCACTGAGCGATCAGAACTCGCGACAGGGGAAGCAAATACAGACATCACACGACGTAGCTTTAGGTAGCAAAACACGGAGATATGCTCACCTTTTGCAGAATAATAATTCTGATCAAAAACGAGAAAAACGCGGCTGAAGGTTAATCCATAGGTTAATCCAATGTGTCTGTCACTTTGAAAAAATTATTGATGATCCATAATTCCATTTTTATGTCAAAAACTGAGTTTTCATTAGCTGCTAATGGTAGCTTCCAGAGTGTATGACAGCTTCCTGTTTTGTCTCCTTGGATACGAGTCCAAACAACTCACAGACTGCACCGGGCGCTGACGTAGGAGCCCTGTGACCATCAGATTTGACGACGCTGATTGGCTGAAATAATGTTTCGGCGGCATAGTTTAAAGATAGCAACAGTTGGCTTCTGCTGCACTTGCTGCACTCTCGTCTGGGCGCTGTGCATAGCGCCCACGAGAGAGGGTAATGATACACGGGCAAGGCCAGGCAGGAAACATGTGACTTATCAGTAACTTTAGACATCGTAACACAATTTTAAACGAGATTTTATTGTAGATTATACATTTTACTGATACCAATTATATAATATTTACCTTGTTTATTAAAAATAAAAATAAAAATAAAAAATATATTTTTTAAATATATATATATATTTTTTAATGTGGGAAGAGGGGGGGCGGCGCCCCTAGCGCCCCTATGGGCCGGCCACCACTGATGACACCTCTATTAGGTTTTACTTAATATTGGGTATTTTATTGGGTTCGGGATTCCTATGGATGACTGCCCAGGAGAGAGCGCAGAGAAGCGACTCCGCCTCCTGGTCTCAACTCCAGTTTGTCATAAATTAAAATACACACAACTAAATTAAAGGTAAGACATTTTGAATAAACGAATGAGCAATATACCCTCCTTTAAAATAAAAGCACTGCCTGCTGACCAATCAAAGCTGGCTGTTTGGGACTTAAGATAATATTACACAAATCAAGGGATTTTAAGTCATGATTCTGTTGACTCCAAATGCACGAAGAAGAACTGGCAACCAATCTCCAAATGTGATAAACCAACAGTTCCATCATTTTACTGGATATTTCTATAATTACGTGTGTAATCTTTTGCATTAAGGTGTTGCTTCTTTGTATTCTCATGGCGTGTATGCTAATATTTTAGTCTTATTCTTTCAGCTGCAAATAAAAATAAATATAAAACATAATGTTTCATCCATAGCCACTTTCAATAAGGTGCTGTGGAGACAGGTGGGTTTGCAGTCTCTCGCAAAAGAATAGATGCTTGGAGGTCAAAATACAAACAAACGGAATATATTTAGCATATGCCACAAATATTCAATCAGTGGCAAAGTTGCCAAAGTTCAGCCTCTTTTATCCCTTATTTAAAGCGCATGCAGCTTTAACACAAATATGACATAATGGGTATAGCTGTGTAGGTATACAGCAAAGGAATAGTTGCCGGGGGCAGATGGGGAATGAGGTGTATTGTTATATTCACAGTGGTGAAAACAAAGTAACTCAGTACATATACTGAAGTACTGTACTTAAGTACAAATTTAAGGCAGGTGGAATTCCATTGAGTTTTTTCTCTCAGTGCCACTTTATACTTCTAATCTAATACAAGGAAATATTGTACTTTTACTTGACTACATTTATTTTACAGCTTTGGATACTAGTTACCATTTAATCTTAAGATTCAGATGTTTACACACAAAAGAGAACTTTTAAAAATATGATGTTTTTATCTAGATTTACATTTTCACACCTAAAACAGTGGGTGGGTTGACTTGAATTGGCAGCAATTGTGGTAATTGTTTAAGTATTTTTTGTGTTAAAACATGTCACAGTGTCAATGTTCTCATATGTGAAGATGTACTGCTTTTACTTTTAAATTGTTTTCCTTTTAAAGTGTAATTAATTAAAAAAAAATCTGCAATGAGTACTTTTAATACTTGAATACAATTAAGTACAATTCTCAATGTGGTACATTTACTTACAGTGTAGTATTCGTACTTCGACTTAAGTAACGGATATGAATACTTCTTCCACCACTCACTGATTGATGTCGGACGGATTTCATATTGAGCTCTTGCTGTAAGGATCCCAGGATTTCCGAGCTGCCTTGAACGCAGAAGTTGTTGACGAAAAGTGGTTTCAACTGACGTAAAACTCCCCTATAAAAGCGTTGGCGGCACGTCGGATGTCCTCTCAGTTCCTCGGTCGGTGTGGTGTCTCCTCCGCGGTACACTGTCCGGTCCTGGTCGTCCAGAAAACAGGCAGCAGGTAAATATTCGCTGAAAATACCTGGCACAGCACAAATGTCCTCATGTCTAAGTAAAGTTACTTTAGTGGGATTTTAATAAGACATGTGAAACACGACGTGCTCACGTTGTGGACGCCACGTTGTCCTGGTTGAGCACAGTAGCTGCTAGTTAGCTTAATGCTAGAAAGGCTAACAGGCCTCCTCGTGTAAGGCAAGGCAATTTTTATTTATAGCACTTTTCAGCACGTGGCGATTCAAAGTGTTTTACACATTAAAAGTTGAGATTAAGTTGAGACACCGGCAGCTTTAAGTGCATTGCATATGGCTTGTGCGGGGCATCTAGCTGGGTGAGGATAGTATGTTGAGTGTAAATGAATGAGAAGACTGCATTCATACAGATGTGCAGTAGTTTCAGTCCTGATGCATGTAGCATGCAAACTGCATTACTGGCGGCATGGCTTTCGAATATTTATTTAGGACCAGAGAGCCTTTTTCCCCTGAAGCCGTTAAAAACTAACAATTGTTTTTCAAATGTCGCTATTGATGCAATCCTAGGTCTGGCAACATTTGTTTTTTACAATCATATTTATTTTCAATGGGGAAACAAGTTACCCAAATCACCAGCTGTGATTATTGCAAGGGGCATTTACAAAGTCCTAATATATTGAGTAGTACCAGTTGGATGGGCTTGGGTCAGTACCAGATCACTTGAGCAGAGCCACTTGTCAGGAGGACGGCCCTGTGCAGTGGGCTGATCTCAGGACAACAGTCGCTATAGAACATCAGGTTTTGCTTTCACCTCTGCACTTTTAGTTGCAGAACGGTGTCAATGAGGCCTGGCACATTCACCCTGTCTATTGGTTTTAAGAGATGCATCACTGTTTCCTCTAACACCCCCCCCAATGAAAGAAACACATTATTTTATTCATACAAGACTATTTCAGCATGATGACCATGGTATCAGGTTTCCCCCATTTCCTTTTATAAAATCTAATCTAGTTGCTTTTGCTTCCAATATTGGCTCAGTTTAATTGTTGGCTGAGATGGCTATGGTCAAACCTCTGAATAATAACAAACTTTATTATATTTAACTTTTTCCCTTTATTGCAGGATATGATCTTACTGCTGGCCTCGATGGGGGAAGATTTAGTGCTGCCCCTCTTGGATATGAGGTTAGTATTTGTTTTCATGGATTCAGACACACAGTGAAACCAATTTAGATGTCATGTGTGTTCTGTCATCACTTCATATCAGACCATGAAACTAGCGGGAACTAGCCGGAGCCTGACAACCTAAACATTCATTCATGGACATTTGACTTGTCACAGTTTTTGGCACAAGCTCCTGAAACGACTAGTTTGCATTTAATGTTATCTGGACATATATACTCTTATACTCTTGTTTTATAAGATCTGGGGTAGGGTATGGGTGGCCCTCGCTGCTTAGGTATCCAAATCATCAACCACTTCATAGCATTTCAATTGAATAGACTCCACCTCTTTAAATACAGCAAGCCTAGACATGCTACTCGACATTACTTTTCCTCAAATAAATGTGTACTGTTGGGATTGATGCATTTCTTATCTGCTTGGCACAGTATGAGCTCTGGTCCTGTGAGGTGGGCCGTAGAGCTCATACAGTGCATAGAGCAAATCATTCTCTTGCAACCCACTGCTGCTGGTTGGAGCAGTGTTACTTATGAGAAAAGACATCTGTTACATTTATCAATAGTTTTGTTTATGGCAGTCCTTTTAACATTCTTTGTTCTTTGGCAGGTGATGAAACCTTAAGGACAGCTTGGTAAGTTGCATTTCAGAATTCAGTTACCGTTCAAGTGTCATGATGATTGGCTTAATGTTCAACTGCTCTGAAGTGTGATTGAGAGATGTCCAACTGAACAAAATACAGCAGTCTCTCTACTGCCATTGCTTATGGAAACCCATAGTAACTCTAGTTCTGCCTCAACAGGTGTCCTCTCTGGCCTTCAACACTGCAGCGTGATGTAAGTACTTTGACGTCCCTTAACAAGAGGGTTTAAACTAACAGGTGGCTGCTATAAATGCACGAGATTCCAGGAGGAAAACAAACCATGTTTTCAAAGTAACTGTCGAGAGTGATATGTGACCTCCAGGAGAGTGTTTAAAACATGTGGTATGACGGCACTGTACGGTATCTGCAGCCAGCTGCTTTCTCAGCTGGTTAGTTCATAAGTCAGTGCGAGACAAAACTCACAAACTGGCATCGTTGGTCTCCATGCTGCCTGTGTGTGGAGTCCTGGTATGTTTGTTGAAACATTATTCATTAGAAAGCAATGGCTTCACCCTGTGTCTGTACATAGTACATGCAAACCACTGCAGATGTAACTCATTTCATCAAGTAATGATAAAACATCAATGCTGCAAACATTTTCTCACTCTCGCCTGCCTTCTTCAGGTGTCCTCCCAGGATGCAGCAGGAGAGGCTGTCCTCCCAGGATGCAGCAGGGCGTCACAGCAGAGGTGAGAGTGTATGATGGTCTCAGAACTGAGGTCTATCCCGACTGACCTTTACCTATAGGGCCGTGTCGTTGGAAATACCTCACAGAATAAATCTGTGGTTACGCTTTACCCACATGTCCACTCCCATGAGCATTGTGAGATATTACTGCAGGACACATGCTTATTTTGAAAGATTAAAGGAGAAATACATAATCTGCATCTTTAGAACTGTTAAATAATGAATTGGGATGTAATTAAATCTTGACTTTCAGAATCCTGAGATGTGAAGAAGAGTGACTCCATCTTTTCCCTGTGAGTAAACTGAATTTCCCCTCTGATATTAAAGCATTATCTAAGGAGTGATGCTGCTCTCAGTGTTGGTCATATACCAAGGCTTTCAGGACTCTCCATTCTTGTTTTGCTGTGGAATTGACCATAAAATAAAAATCATCCCAGAGGTCTCCTTAAGCAGCCTGCTGAGGAGGCCTGTGGGAACATGATCTTCCTAACTGTTACGCTTTACCCACATGTCCACTGCATGAGCATTGTGGGATATTACTGCAGGACGCATGATAAAAAGGGACATGAGGCCATACTGAGTATCAGCACAGGCAGGGACCCTTCAACCAGGCTGAGGCTGAGATTGGTGTTTGATATGTTATAATATTAGAAATGTAGTGCTTGAACTGGTGAAAGGAAAGGGTCTTTTTAAATGTTTTAAATAGCACTTGTCATTTTGTTCAGTTAGATTTTGATGCCCACCAAATAAGTTAAATGCAGGGAAATGAATTTAAACTAGAGATGTTTGGTAAATGTATTGACTGAATGTGTCTCCTGTGTTTAGGTGGCTGTGATGGCACAACAATCCTGAGTAAAGAATCCTGAGACTCCAGAACTAAAAGCAGTAGGTGGGTTTGTCTTCATGCAATTCTGATATCTGTCCAATGATTGAAAACACCTGATGCTTACAGCACTGTACGGTATCTGCAGCCAGCTGCTTTCTCAGCTGGTTAGTTCATAAGTCAGTGCGAGACAAAACTCACAAACTGGCATCGTTGGTCTCCATGCTGCCTGTGTGTGGAGTCCTGGTATGTTTGTTGAAACATTATTCATTAGAAAGCAATGGCTTCACCCTGTGTCTGTACATAGTACATGCAAACCACTGCAGATGTAACTCATTTCATCAAGTAATGATAAAACATCAATGCTGCAAACATTTTCTCACTCTCGCCTGCCTTCTTCAGGTGTCCTCCCAGGATGCAGCAGGAGAGGCTGTCCTCCCAGGATGCAGCAGGGTGTCACAGCAGAGGTGAGGGTGTATGACGGTCTCAGAACTGAGGTCTATCCCGACTGACCTTTACCTATAGGGCCGTGTCGTTGGAAATACCTCACAGAATAAATCTGTGGTTACGCTTTACCCACATGTCCACTCCCATGAGCATTGTGAGATATTACTGCAGGACACATGCTTATTTTGAAAGATTAAAGGAGAAATACATAATCTGCATCTTTAGAACTGTTAAATAATGAATTGGGATGTAATTAAATCTTGACTTTCAGAATCCTGAGATGTGAAGAAGAGTGACTCCATCTTTTCCCTGTGAGTAAACTGAATTTCCCCTCTGATATTAAAGCATTATCTAAGGAGTGGTGTTGGTCATATACCAAGGCTTTCAGGACTCTCCATTCTTGTTTTGCTGTGGAATTGACCATAAAATAAAAATCATCCCAGAGGTCTCCTTCAGCAGCCTGCTGAGGAGGCCTGTGGGAACATGATCTTCCTAACTGTACACATGCTGCTCTCATCAGTCACATGAAGGTGAAGTGACCTAACTACTGTAGCTTGTACTGAATCTTTGCTTCCTGTATTTTCAGATTGCTGCTCGACAGCTGATCTGGTGACAGCATTGCACATAGTGGCAAATACCTTTACAGCTGTTGTGTCCACTGCAACAGAATGTCTACTTACTGAAATAAACAACTATTACTCTCACTTGTCTGTCAATGTCCTCGTATCATGCACTATAATCAAGAATTTAATTGATAACTTTCTTAATGTAATGTTTCATTACTTGGCTAATGCATTTATCCACGCATACTACCTGAAATGATTAGTGCTCAAATTGAACACTTGACATTTGGATGTTCCAGGGATTGAGTCTTGCCAACAGACCACTGCTAAAGAGAATTGGGGACCATGTGCTAGCATATCAATATGCAGAATGAAGTTCTGTTAATGAAAAATCTGCTGCAGTTAAAACATTTTCATCCATCAGAAAACATGACCGAATACTTTTATTAAAGGTAGGGTAGGTAAGTTTGAGAGACCGGCTTGAGATACACTTGTTATATTCCATGGAATGCTCTTAACATCCCGATAGCAATGAATATCTTAAGTGCTTTGACAAAAAATTCTGTAAAAAGCACGACCAATCATTTTAGCCACCCCGGCTAAAATGATTGGATGGCCTACCTGCCTGTCAGCCTTCCATCTGTGCACAAACTTATCTCTTGCCCTCATTGGTCATGTTCGTGTGTGTTGGAGGAGGTGCTCTATAAGGAAGTGGCAGATTTTCTCCGGTTGTGTATATTTAAACTAGCGATCTCGAGCCGGTTTCTCAAACGTACCTACCCCACCTTAAGTATTTAGGCAGGATCAAAAGAACTCTTTCAGGCTGACCCTTCATTTATAACCAGCTTGCTGAAAATGGTCCCTTACTGCACATTAACCTCAATCAACTGGAACTTTGAGTGCCTACGTTCAGAGTAAGAAGCTGCAGTCTGAATATGATTGTTCTGTTAGTCTTTTTCAGGGTAGGCATCTCTGCAGAAATAAGCTGCTTAATTTTTTTTGAAAGGAACTTGTTTTATCTTTGAGTTTAAAATGAAACTGACAATTATATTTTTTAATATTTAGTCAAATGATATATGCGTCACATCCTTCTACATACGGCCCAGTGCGTTTCCCCGGAGGTGACCAATCCTTAGTAACAGACTCCGCCCTTTGAAAACTAAATGTGGATTAATTGAAAAAAACGATGGAAATTGTGTTATTCTGCAGGTATAGATTACTTTGCTTTTATCTCCAGCAATGCTGGCCTACCTGATGTGTGATGTATTGTGAGAAATTAGCAAACTACAGAAGATGTAATCTCTTTAAAGGCGTTTCCAGAACAAACACAGCATTTGCTGCTTTTATCTTTCTATGGTAATAATAGCAGTATTTATCCCGACAAACTAGTTTTTGTATGGTTTAACTATATATAAAACTGTAAAAGCTGTGTTCAGAGGTGGTAGGACCAGTGGTATGAAGGTAGATATGGTGCAAAATGCGAGAGCGTGTAAAACCTGATGTGAGCACTTGTCTTGCAGAAAAGAAATCTGAGCTTGTGTGCATACATTTATAGGCTACTTGTATAAAATATCCACGTATCTGTGAACCAAATTTGAAGTCACAGAAGAAAAAAAAAAGTGTTGTAGCTTGTAGAAAAAAAATGAACTTCGTGATGAAATGTTCACTTGCAGAAAAATATATATTTTTAAAATATATTTTCCATTACAACTGCAACTTGGTTATTACAACCTCTCAAATCAGTCATTACAACTTCACGAATCTGCTCTGTGGCAGTATAAATCGACGAATCTGCGGCCTTGACTTTTGCTACACATCTATGAATGAATGTGTCGCTGAAGTAATTTTCACCTGTAGATGTGGGGGGAAGAACATGGGGAGGAAGGGGGGTTGGAGCGAAGGGGCGGAGCTATCAGAACGAGGAGGCGCAAGCTCGGGTCAGTCACACATGCGACTTTCACACCAGCGCTTTTCCCATTCTAGCTCCGTGCTAGAGCTTTTCTGGTTCAGCTCCGGTTTCCCTTTTCTGCTCGCATTTTGTTCACACCGCCCAGAGCCCGACTGGTGCTGCCGCTGCTGCGTCATGACGTCACCGTTTACATCGCTGATTTGCTCCCCAACGGCGCTCACAACACGACGCTGAAGTTGGCCTCCGATTCAGAGCTTCCGATTCGGCAGTTAAGGGGAAAGTTAAGGGAAATTTAATTTACAGCGCTGAGCGAACAATCCTCCGTGTTTGAACCTCTTAAATCGCTGCATAGCTGATTTATTTGGACTGGATTATCCCAGAGAGGCTAAACATTCTTTATAACACATTTGTGAAAATACAAAAAAGAGAGATTTCAGTGCTTTTTCGCATCCTGGCCACATTAGACCAGGTCCTGATCTAAAACCACTATACCTAGACTCATCAAATCTGGACTGGATTATCCCAGAGAGGCTCAACATTCTTTATAACACAGTTTCAGATTTGTGAAACCTTAATTCTATTTGTGAAAATACAAAAAAGAGAGATTTCAGTGCTTTTTCGCATCCTGGCCACATTAGACCAGGTCCTGATCTAAAAATCTAAAAATGTTTGGTTTTTGTGACCAGTTAGACTCATTAAGGCCATTGTTTCCCTTCATAAGTGCAACTACGGAAGTGGATTGGAGTCTTTCAGAGCCTGTCACAGTTCCAGATCATACCAGTGTAAAGCTATGTGTACATTAGTAATCATAGTTTTTCTATGTCAAAAAAAGTATAAACAGCATGCAACAATATCAAAACTTGCTAAACATGCTCACTTTATTATATTTGTGTTGCAAAGGTCATGCCACAGTCTGATAAGCATAACTTGTTTAAGAATTCAAAATGCAGCCCCCACTTCAATCAATAAAGCATTCCAAATATATATATCATGTGCAGTGCTCATTAGTAGCCGTCATCCCATGCAGTTTAAATATACTGGGACCACAGCAAGGCAGCGTTACACTGGTGAGTACATGTGAAAGGATTTCAGGAGCCTTTTGCTTCATTTACATTATTTTAGTGGTTTGAGTAAGAGTACTTTTTAGAAATTCTAACAATAGCCGCGTTCACACCAAGTACTTTCCTGTACTTAGTTCCGGCACTAAGAGCCCCGGCGCTTTTAACCCCAGGGCACTTAGTACAGATCGCGTTCACACCGGAGTACTTTTCCCTGAGGGAAGATTACGCAAATGAGCCGCTGACGTCACTTCTTCTTCTTCTGCGTTGGCTTTACTGGCAGGCCACAAACCACTTCACGGCGAGTACAGTAGGTGGCGGTAAGCACCTTAAAGTTGTTTGCAATCCGCTACAAAACAAGAGAAGAAGAAGAAGAAAAACTTCCCGCGTATACTGTCTGTTGTTTACCTTCCGACCTCAGACATGATGGAGATGGAGTCGACTGAAGTTGTGCTGTTTGTGCTCATGTTATACAGCTTTGTAACTTTGTTAATGCGGCCTGAGCCTATTCGGATCCGGAGCCGCCACACGTCGAATGCTATGGCAAAGTTTCTTCAGCAGTTTAAAAGCCTTAGGAAAAGGATTGGCCGACGGAAAGCACACATGACTGCCATGTTTCACCGTAGGATGGCTGATGACGATGAGCGTTTTCACGCCCTAAGAACAGCAATGGTAAGTTCAGTAAATTATTAATACTATCTAATGTAGGATTTGTGGAGTTATGTAGAGCTAATTTGCGCCTTTGTATGTGTTCCAGATATGCAAATACTACGGGACGCGTCGTGTCCCGCGCTCTCTCTGGGTGAACAATAGAACCTCAGCCTGGTGGGAGAAGGTGGTGCCGACGTACACCGATGTGCAGTGGATCCAAGATTTCAGAATGTCCAAGCACTCTTTCCAATACCTCTGTAGTCGCCTGGAAGCAACGTTGGGGAGAAGCGACACCAACTTCCGGGAGTGTGTCCCTGTGGCTAAAAAAATCGCCATAGCACTGTGGAAACTTGCGACCAACTCTGAGTACAGGACCATCTCTCATTTGTTTGGAGTCGGCAGATCTACAGTGTGTTACTGTGTGCACGAGTTCTGCTCCTCTGTTGTGAGCATACTCCTTTGTGAGTTCATGCCATGGCCGAACGCTGAGAAGTTAGAGGAGATGGCGTTATTTTTTGAGCGCAGATGGGGTGTGCCACAGTGTGTAGGTGCAGTAGATGGATCACACATCCCCATTCTGAGACCAGAGGAATACCACAACGAGTATTTCAACCGCAAAGGCTGGCACTCGCTCGTCCTGCAGGGTGTTGTGGATGGTAGAGCCCTCTTTTGGAATGTTTTTGTTGGCTTACCAGGTAGCATGCATGATAGCAGAGTGTTTGGCATGTCATCACTGTGTAGTTTTGCGGATAAGGGTGGTCTACTTCCTCATGTAACAAAGAATATTGGTGGACATGATGTGGGTTACTATATCCTTGGTGACTCAGCCTACACCCTGCAAAGATGGCTGATGAAACCTTTCCAAGGAAGGCTCACACCCGAGCAACTTGTGTACAATCACAAAACAAGCCGAGCACGAGTGGTGGTGGAGAACGCTTTTGGCAGATTGAAGGGCAGGTGGCGGTGCTTGATGAAAAGAAACGACTGCAAGATGGACAAGATAAAAATCCAGGTGGCAGCATGTTGCGTGTTACATAACCTTTGTGAAAGTAATGATGATGAGTACAGGGACGAATGGACTGCCTTCCCGGCGACCCAGCTTGATGGGCCAGCGCCAGCCATTGCCGAGGCTGGGGGGCAAGACACACGCACAGCCCTTATGAGGCATCTGAACAGCGTGTAAATTGTACATTCTAAACAATAAATGTAAACATTATTGACAATAAAGCTGATCATTTCTACGGTGCTTTTGTTTCTCTCTTTCATTTTGCAGTCAAGACAGGCAACATTACAATAGTGTAATAGTAGCCAAAACAAACATACATGTTAGTAACTAAAGTGTCAGTTGTACATGTCACTAAACATTGTCAATATAAAATAAAGTGTCAGTTGTACTATATAATAACAGTAATAACAATATAAAATAAGGATCTGTTTAATCGCCATGTCGGTTTTCTTTATTGCACTCTCAAGACATAACATGAAATAGAACAATTTTTATGTCGTAACTCTTCAATTATACG